CCCCCATATAAGGGTACCTCCAATATTTTGACGATTTTAGCTACATTATTCACTGTTTATTTCAAGTTTCGAGTTTGAATGTGGTAATGGCTTATGACAAACAATGCCTATGTAGGTCCACGTCGTATAGACCCCAATAGACGGCTATATTTGTCGTTTTTAAAATTTTAACAGAATTTTTTAAGAATTTTATTTTTTGAAATATTTTAAATTCGTTCCAAAAGGTGGAGGGTATTCAAAGTTCGGCTCGGCCGAACTTACTGCTTTTTAACTTGTTATATATATCAAATGAAACATGGAAATGGAATGCTTCGGTCGACTATACCCGGTACATCACGCACATGTTAACATTTTCTAAATATTATCACATGTGTCATGCAAAGTGAAGGAAATTACCAACCTGTTACCAAGTTACCCCATATTTATATCGTATTTATTTAGGTCCGATACGAAATAGACAATATTGGCCCATTCCCTCAGAACCCACTCCATAGAGGGTCAACAGTTTGAATAATTATAACAGAAGTCAAAATACATTTAAATAATCGAACAATGGCTGAGGATATTAGTCTGTCGGTAGATCCGATTGATACTCAATTATGGAGGGAAACTTCATTTTGTCGCCATTAGATCAAGGGGGCCATCATCATCAAATACACTGCCTATTCCGAAAAGATCGACTGAAATAAATTCGCATCAAACTCTTGCAGTTTCTCCCGTTAACTTCATTTTACATACGACTTTTTAGCTGCCTATGGAATCTTACTAAAGTTCCCAAAATATGCGCTTATCTTCTTTTCCAATAACTATGATGTTTCCTTAATTAATAACAGTTATATTTTTAGACCCTACAAAAGAGTTTCGCATTTTCGCCGTAATTATTGTATCTTCCTGTGTGACAATATGTAAAAATTAGTTGAAATTTCCTTACACCTGTTTTCCTATCATTCTTTTAACATCATAATTTGCTGGCAACATCGTGGTGGTAATGATGTTGATGAAGATATGACGGCGACGATGTTGATATGTTGATATGCCTAAGAACGATGATGGTGTTGTTTCTCAGATTATTCCATAGTATCATAGCCAATAGAGCCCTCAGCATTAAAGGCCCGTTGCAGGTTTAATGAACCTTTCTTTTTTAGATTTGTTTTTGCTTTTTTCTGTCTGCTTTGTTTCATTACCGTCTGTTTGCCTAATGTCGGTTCTGTTGATTTGAGATTTATATTTCCCCCTACCGGCTTAGTACTGTTCTGTCTCCCATTTCAAACGAAAAAAAAACTGAAGAAGAAAAAGGGTAAATAAATAGATTAGTTTTGACAAGCAACGGAAGATGAAACAATTGTCTAGAATAAAACAACTTCAACAACAACAACAAAAAAACGCAAACCTAACCAGCAACAACATGATTTTATTACAAAACCTCAACCATTATCATTTTCATTGTTAGATGTTAGTTTTTTTTTTTTGTCGCGCAAACATAATGTCTACATGTGTACATAGTTCTGGCTAGAATGCGCTTTGTAATAATTCTACTAGGGACTATTTCCGTCTGTTTGTCGGGCTGTCTGTCTGTTTGCCCATTCATGCTGTTGTTTAATTATTTTAACATTACCCTGGTTGACGGGAACAAGGGAGAGAGGAATTCCATGTAATTATTGTTTGGGCAATCATATCCCATGTACATGCTTGATGTCCGCTATGGGTGTCGGTTTTTGTTCTTTTTCATTCGATTTTCTAATCCAGTGAAATATACACCTCTGCAACTCTATCTGTGAAAGATGTACAAAATATTATGCGGAGAATATGACTCACATGATAAATAGTTTACAAATGAAGGTTTGCAAAAATTAGTGTTTGGAAATATCAAGCTTTGCAAAAGTTTGAATCTAGATACTTAAGGACTCGCTGACCCTCAGCTAGCCAATACATAGAGGGAGAAAGACTTCTATATAGAGATAAAGACTCCCCGGCTCTTCAGCTCGTATATACAGAGAGACTTCCCGGCTCATCACCTTGTCTATAGGAAGAGAATGACAGAATCCTCGGCCCTAAAGCTCGTTTATACAAGGTGGCGAAAAAGTAATCTTCCGATCTTTTTTTTAGCTATAATTTAAAAAAATAAAAACATTGATTCTTGTTGTGGAATATTTTTATTTGGTCTTTTAGTTTCTTTTACATCAAGTGGAGAATACGATGTCATATAAATGACCGCCGTCACAGTTTAATGTCCTTTAAGTCCTTTTTATGGCATTTTCATCACTTTGGCCCAAACTTCCGGCGATAGGTCCTCACATTCTGGACGGATATTGTCTTTAAGGGCTGAAAGAGTCTCAGGCTTGTTGACATAAACCCGCGACTTCAAACAGCCCCACAAAAAAAAAGTCTGGAGCCGTCTAATCTGGCGATCTTGCTGGCCAGTGCAAATCGCCAAATAGGGAGATTAGGCGCCCGGGAAATTCATCCTTCAATATATCGTTTGTGGCCCGTGTAGTGTGTGCCGTTGCACCGTTCTGTTGGATCCAAATGCTTTCCAATCCCAACTCATAAAGATGCGGCAAAAATTAGTCATTGATCATTGCTTTGTAGCGCTCACCATTCACAGTAACCGTTTGGCCGTGGCGTCTTCGAAGAAAAAAAGTCCGATGACTCCTCCAGCGAAAACAGCACAACATACAGTGACTTTGAGCGGGTGTACGGTTACACGCGGATTTTCAGTGCCCCAGAAGCGTAAATGCTTATTTATTTACGTACCCGTTAAGATGGAAATTGGCCTCATCACTCATGGTTATTTTTGATAAAAAGCATCTTCTTCTTGATGGTGATTGAATAGTCACCAATATTCCGCGTTCTGGAGCAGTGTAGCGTAACATTGTTTATTAAGGTGTATTTCGCATGTGTTTACTACAAAAATGTCAAAACAGAACTGACATTAGGGGCAAATCGTAAAATTTTGAGCATTTTCTGATAGGAAGATTACTTTTGCGCAACCTTGTAGAAGTAGAGACTCGCATGCCGGTATCTTGTCTATAGAGGATTAGACTGACTCGCTGGTCCATCAGCTCGCCCTCTATAGGCAGACTCGCTGGTCCATCAGCTTATCTGTAGAGACTCCCTGTTCCTAAGCCCGTCTAAAGCGACTCTATGGAGACTATTGAAACCCTCATCTCGTCTATAGAGACACCTTGGGCTTCATTCATCATTAACTCATCTATACTGTCCATAGAAACTATAGGGCCTTCAGATCATCAGATCGTCTATAGAGACTCTCTGGGACTTCATTCCTTAGCCGATCTATAGAGACTTTCTGACCCTGGAGACTCTCTTGGATTTCACCATTAGCCGGCCTATAAAGACACTGTCTATAGACAGACTCACTGGCCCATCAGCTCGTCGTCTATAGACAGACTCGCTGGTCCATGATTAGACACATTCGCTGGCCATAAGCTTGTCTATTCAGACTGGTTTGAGATTGAGACTGGTCCATCATCTTATCTGTAGAGACTCCCTGTCAATAAGCTGTCTCTAGCTGTCAGCATACCTATAGAGACTCCCTGAGCCTTCTGGCCTTTAGCTCGCCTAAAGAAACTCTTTAAAACTTCATAGATCTATAGAAACTCTTTGGGCTTTCACGTCATCAGCTCATCTATAGTACTCAAGCTTGCCTGGAGACTACAGGGTCTCCAGATCATCAGTTTCTCTACAGAGACTCTCTGGGACTTCAAACCATCATCCGGTGTATGAAAATACTGTGGCCATCAGCTCGTCTATGGACACTCCCTGGCCTGCATCTCATCTATAGAGACTTCTTGGCCTCCAGCTCTTATATAGAGACTTGTCTATAGTAATTATACCAATATTCAGGGTGAGATGAAAAAACTGCAACCAAATTCAGACTGCTGTCATTTCCAAGCCACTCGTCCGACTGATGTTAAAATTATTTCAGTGACAGCTCATTAAATTGTTTACAAGCGTACATAATCATTTTGGTGAGAATTTTCCAGAAAAAAAGTCGCAGTGGCTGAGATATGGCTCGTGAACTGAACATATCGCAATTGGACATTCCAACAGGACTCGGCACCATCGCACTCACCACGCGCCACCCAAGAATATTTACAAAATGATGTTCCTCGCTTCATTTCCAGCGCACAATGGCCACCAAAATCTCCGGATACCAATCCGTTGGACTATTGTGTCTGGAGTATTTTGGAAAGCAAGGTTGGCACTAAAAAATACCAAAGTGTCGATCACCTCAAGCAAGCGCTTTGCCGGGAATGGACCTAAATACCGTAGAGCAACATTCGGGCAGCGTAGGCCATAATTCGTGCCAAAGGTGACCGATTCGAACAAATCTAAACTTATTCTAAAATTTGATGCTATTTCCGATACTTTTTGCTTTCATTAAAAAAAAAAGAAAAAAATGCAAAAAAAAAAAATATAAAAATTATGGCGTTTGACTTGGTTGCAGTTTTTTTATCTCACTCTCATGGGTCTATCTACAATCCAAATCCAATTTAGTAATTTTCGTACATTATATAGCACGTACTCGTATAATCAGCCGTTTGTCAATGTCGCAGTGACACTTATAGTAAAATTCATATGTTCATCTCTATTTTAACATAGGTACAGTTGTATGCGAATTTTCAAAACCACTGCCAACTTTGATTCTCATATAAAAATATAAAGATTATAGATCTGTCCGTTAAAAAATATCATGGCATCAAATTAGAACCCTTTGGTACTATTTATACCGTTAAAGTTCGAATTTATTTATAGTATAATTATACTAAACTCCAACAGCGATTCTTCATTTCATATTTCAGAATTATAGCTTTATGTGTGCGCCTAATACAAATAACACCACCTTTCTAGACAATGTATCAAAAACCCAACCTTATCCCGATCTTCGGCCCCTCAGTTAGTCCTTGAAACAATCAATCACTCAACTCTTTTATTTTTATTAATAAATATTTTTTTTTTTCTTTTATTTTCAGATACTTAAATACATAAATCATAATTTAGATGTAATTACTACAAGCACCATTGATTTTGCCAACGACCACGATAGCTTCCGACTCCAAACATGCTGTAAGCCCATCCATATATATGTTTCCATTCTCAGAATGCATTCATTAACGTCATCACTTGTACATAGATTTTCACGTAGCACTTTATCCATTAACAATTTCCACGTTTTACGTTCTTAAAAAAAACACAACAACAAAATCTATAAAGATAATCGACATAACCTCAATACATCCATCCTACAACTTCCACGCCCACCGCACGTTTAAAACAGGCGACAAATTCTGTTGAAAAATCATCAAGAAGCCCTTACAATGGCTGATAGCCGAGAACGAATACGTGGACCATCGAGGGATGGTCGGGAATTTTTGACTAGCCCACGGCAAGTGCTGCGTCGCCTAATGTTGTTATCCGAGGGACGCCAGTATCGGGAAGCTGCTGGAGTTGTTGGTCGTCTGGGACCGTCGGTATTGAGATCTGTTATTGCCGAATTACCAATTGATTTGTTGCTGGAACATTTGCCTCATAGCTCATATCTACTGGAGTCGTTCTTTTCAAGGTAAGACAAGCTAATCGAAGAAAAAAAATCAAATAATATCATATTTCACTTCTTTTCAGATTAATCACAGTCAATCCTTCGCCCAAGCCGGATGTACCCACCGAAGCGGTTCTTTGGCAATTGATCAAACTTTTCTCCAATCCCCATGATCCTGGTCTAAAACAACGATGCCTAAAACTTCTACAATCCCTGGTGCAATATGAACCGAATTTAAGGCACACCATACGAGAGACTCGTAAATCCTTCAATGATGCCGTTCAGGGACTGGGTGTACATGGCCTGACCACAGATGCCTCAGGCCAGTTAATATCCCTGCACATGGCGCTCAAAAGTGAACTGCAAAGACACATCGACACCTACAAAGTGGCCCTACACAAACTGGAAGAGTTGAGCGCAATAACCATAAATCAAGATCCTGCCCATTCCTCCCATCAACGCCTGCTGGCCATAAACTATGGCGATATACAACAGCGTTTAATAGATAATAAAACCATTTTAACACTTCTCGATAAACCTGCTCTCAAACAATTAGCTAGTCTCATTGAAAATCTATCCCAACGTGTTGAGAACGATAAGGAGGTGCTGAAGGCAGTCGGGCAGGTGAAGAGAGTGGATATGCAGGCGAACTTAGAGAAACGACCTGCCGCGGGCTTGCTCATGAATTTTGCCCGTGGCTGTGAAGTTGTTCTACAAATGATGGGGCCAGAAAGCCTGAATGGTCCCAATACCACACCGAGTATTGGTTCGCCCAATGGTGGCAGTAACAGCAGTTGCAGTGATGGCTATCATTCGGATGATTCGGCTAATGAAGAAATAAGGTAACTTTACCATCACTCTCACTTCTGAATAGATTACTCCTCATGTACTTTTTGTTGGAAGTTTGTGCTTCACAAAAAAAAAAAAAAAAAAAACTTTCTCAACTTGGCCAAGTAAGCCAATGGCCTAAAGTGTTTATTAGTTTTTGTTTTTGTGGTTATGACGGATTTCAATTGTTTTTTCTTTATTCTCTGTGGGCTTCTTTTCTCATTTTCGTTTCTCGTTTCATTTTAGCGGCATGGTCTCACAGTATCGCTTGCTGTATCTGGAAAATAGGACAGATACGTTGGAGGCATTGGACAGTTTACCCCAGCTTAAACACGTTCACAATTTGAAAGCAAAAATCTTATTTTCAATAATAGTGGTAAGTATCTAGAAATATCATTATATTATGTTATTGTTGTTGCTTTTTTGTTTTTCAAAATCGTGATGAAATGCGTACCAATATCGTAAATGATTTCACTTGTACCCGAAGACATTTTGATTGATTTGACACACCTAGGCAGATCAAAAAGTCAAACACATTTTATTGAATGAAAGCAAAAGATGTCGGAATTTTAGAACAAGTTTAGATTTGTTCCTTCAACGGCCAATGAAACCGTCACATGCTGCCCGAATGTTGCTCTGCGGTATTTTTGTAGACCCTGCTGCGTCAATGTAGACCGCAGTGAGTTTTCATCTTCGGCGCTTCATCGCAGTATGAGACTTCCCTGCAGCAGTTGACGCCACACATTTCTGTTCAAGTTCCGGATAATGCGTTATTTCTTCAATTCAATTGTGATGGTCTCCGCGGTAAGAATAACGAAATCGTAAGCTTCAGTCGGAAGAACATTAAGGTCGCAGCGATCCAGGAAACGAAGCTGAGTACCACCTGCAAGCTTCAAAGTTGTGATGGATACAACGTACTGAGATAGGATCGATCCAGGGATGGAGGATTAGCAATCCTATTGCACCACTCTATCCAGTACAGACCTAACTCGCCTGAGCTTGACTCTAGTGACCCGTACATGGAATATACCCATAGGTAGCGGTCATGTGTGTCTCACGTTATATGTCTAATACCACTTCACTTCTGGTAGGCAATAACCGTCTGGTGCTAGGGGTTTTCAATGCCCAACATGAATTATGGCATTCCGTCCTAAGTAATGACCAGAGGCATGGCGCTGGCTGAGTAAATTTAAACTCCACGTTTTCACAGTGAATGAGGACGCGCCCACCAGAATAAGGCGAGACTGTCACAGTTCCCCGGACGTATCTATCGTGTCCCCAGGTCTGACGAATGACATAACTTGGCAATCAGTTATTTTTCTAGGCTCAGGCCACCTCCCCATTATTGTCGCCATCAACAGACCACCTGTCTTCAAAGACTCTCAACGCCGCACTTTTCTTAACCACGGCAAAGCCAATTGGCAAGAATTCAGAGAATATACCAATAGCCGCTTTAAAGAACCGTCCAACCCATCTGATGTTCAGGTAGCAGATAGGTGTGACCTACAGGGTGAGATGAAAAAACTGCAACCAATAATCAGACTGCTGTCATTTCTAAGCCACTCGTCCGACAGTTGTTAAAATTATTCCAGTGATAGCTCATTATATTGTTTACAAGCGAAGAAAATCATTTTGGTGAGAAAAAAGTTAGTCGTTATGGAATTTAAGTGTGATAGAGTGTTTGTCTCCTGTCTCGTACCATCGCTCGTTACCGTGATACTGGTAGCGTAGCCCGACGTCAAGGAAGTGGACGAAAAAAAAAACAGCAACGTCAGCAGAAATGGTTCGACAAGTAAAGAAGCGACTTGATCGAAACCAGCGTCGCAGTGGTCGAAAAACGGCTCGTGAGCTGAACATATCGCAATATTCCATTCGACAAATATTGAAAAATGAGCCATTGAAATTCCAAAAAGTTCAAGAACTTACACCGCAGCAGAAAGAAAATAGACTCAAAAGAGATAAAGAGTTGCTTCGCTTGGCCGAAAGTGGTGAACTACCGAATTTTGTTTTCTCCGATGAGAAAACATTCGTTGTCCAGCACTTTTTAAACAAACAAAGTGATCGTGTTTACTTGCCAAAGAGGTCAGCTGAAAATGTGCAACTTCGGTTAGACACCAGAACTAAAGCGCCAGCCATGGTGGGGGTGTGGGCGGCCATAACATCCGATGGTCGCTCTCCGCTCTCATTAATCGGCCGTGGCATTAATTTTGGCCGGAGACCTTGGACATTCCGACAGGACTCAGCACCATCGCACTCAGCACGCGCCACCCAAGAATGGTTTCAAAATAAGGTTCCTCGCTTCATTTCCAGCGCACAATGGCTACCAAAATCTCCGGATACCAATTTTGGAAAGCAAGGTTGGCACTAAAAAAATAACAAAGAGTCGATAACATCTAGCAAGCGCTTCGTCGGAAATGGGCCAAAATACCGCAGAGCTACGTTCGGGCAGCGAGTGGCGTTTTCATTGGCCGTTTACAGGACTTAATTCATGCCAAAGGTGACCAATTCGAACAAATCTTAACTTATTCTAAAATTTGATGATGTTTTCGAAATTTTTTGCTTTCATTCAAAAGAAACAAAAAAAAAAAAAAAATGAAAATGTAAAAATTATGGCGTTTGACTTTGTTGCAGTTTTTTGTATGTCTCCCTGTGTGTCTTTGTGCATTTGTTTGTAACATGAAGAAGTCCAAATGGTTAATAAAAATCGGTTAGGATGAAAGGGTATACAACTTGCTGTCCACTGTGAGTTTAGTCAGGCAAGGAAAATCGTTGAATTCTCTAACTCATTTTTTGAATTACCGAATTTCGGTCATTTTCGAAATTTGTCGGTAAGTTAGCGACGAAATCAAAGTAGTCGCTAAGGCCTACCGATAAATACCAATGTTGTCAACTTTAACTTGATTTCTCTATCAAAATTTTGGGTTTCAAAGTTATCGATTTTTGTCGGTAACTCAAAAACTGAGTTTGAGAATCCCACTACATATCTGCTTACTTATTCTGGTACTATGCCCTCATTTTTACCTAAATTTTGCATTATTGCGTATACGGTGAAACGTAACATTCAACTGCTTCCTTCTTCTTTAGCGCTCATATTACAGGGTGTGGTGTGAAGCACATCACTTATAAAGTAAATTTTTAATTAATACAAATTTTGAAAATAATCGACATTACCTCCTTTTAAAAGTCAAATTATCCAGTTACAATTGTTAAAACCCGTAACTAAAATATTTTACTGCCTGAAGCCTTCCATTAAACTTGATAATTAATAGTCATACACCAAATGATAGTTGCTGTTAAAGTTGTTTTTCTGGACAAAACTTTCATTTTCTAAATTGAAACTTATTCAATCGCCTTGATGGACAGGATCAATTTTCACAATAAAACACCACTTGAAATTATCCATCCAAAGTATTTCATCATTTGCAAATTCACTCAAAATGCCGGCGGCTAATTGAAAAGTTGTGGCCATAAAAACCCACAACACAAATTACCAGTTTCGATTCGAAACAAAGTTATAGCACCGTCAAGTTGATAATTTGAAGTTTTCGTCGATCAAGTTTATTATCTTCGAAAGCAAACCAAAACTTGTCATTACACCACAAACTGGAGCAGTCATTGAAAGGCAACATCATCAATTGAAATTAGTGTTATTGACAATAATGTTTAACTCATGATTAGGACCAGTTAAGAGGCGTCGTTGCGGCCGTTGGGAGTGGAGTCCATTAATATTTTGTTTTCCTTTCTTTATTTGCAGCTTTCATTTCGTCTGTGTCATGGCATGCGCGAACGCAAAGTTATGGAAGTTCGACGAACTCTCAATTGTCCCCTGGATAGTACAAATGAAATAACACTGGCCTTGGATAGATCGATACGTCAGCATTTGCATGATACCATTGACACCTTTCCACTGGGCGAAATCGAAAGATCTGTGTTTAATCAGGTAATATTTTATTTGAAATTACGTGTTAATGAAATATTAGTTGATTATCTCTGTTAATTAATTGATTGCAGGTCCTTTCAACATTACATGAGTACTCATGCTTGGAATCATGTCCCCCGCTTATGCACTTTGTCAGTGCTTGTGTGCGTTTGGCCTGGAAAATGGTTAATCAAAAGGTGCCCTATTATCTGGACAATGATTTTAATTTGGGTGAGTAGAAAAAAAATTTGTCCGCAGACACCATAATCTATTTATAGCAATAAACAAGTAAAAAAGCTGTAAGTTCGGCCGGGCCGAACTTTTAATACCCTCCACCATTTGGTACAAATTTGGCAATTTCCAAAAAATAAAACCCGTTAAAAATTCTGTTAAAATCTTAAAAGTACCGAATGCTTATACGACGACGTGGGCCTGCATAGGCAACTTTTGTCATAAATTATTACAGTATTTAAATGCGAAACTTGAAGAAAAATCTGTTTATAATGTAGCTAAAATCGTCAAAATACCGAATATGGGGGTACCGTTATATAGGGGCTATACGAAGACGTAGACCTGCACAGACAATTTTCTGGCATGGGCTGAAGTATCCATTACGAACTTCAAATACCAAATTTGAAACGATTCCGGTAAACAATGCCGCTAAAATCATCAAAATACCGAATATCGGGGGGTACCGTTATATGGGGGCTATATGAAGACGTGGACCTACATGGCTAATTTTTTGATTTAGGATGTAGTATCCATTACGAACTTCAAATACCAAATTTGAAACGATTCCGGTAATCATTGTCGCTAAAATCATCAAAAAACCGAATATCGGGGGGTACTGTTATATGGGGGCTATACGAAGACGTGGACCTGCACAGATAATTTTCTGTCTTAGGCTGTAGCATCCATTACAAACTTCAAATGCCAAATTTTAAATAATTCCGGTGAATAATGTCGCTAAAATCATCAAAATACCGAATATCGGGAGGTACCGTTATATGGGGGCTATATGATAACTTGGACCTACATGGCCCATTTACGAACTTAACCTGCCTACTGGGAAAAAATGCATGTGTGCAAAATTTTAGCTTTCTATCTCAATTTGTTCGGAAGATAGCGTGATTACAACAGACAGACAGACAGACACACAGACAGACAGACGGACATGGCTAAATCGTCTTAGAATTTTACGCTGATCAAGAATATATATACTTTGTTGGGTCTGACATGAATATTTCGAGGAGTTACAAACGGAATGACAAAATTAATATACCCTCCATAGTATGGTGGAGGGTATAAAAAGAGTTTATATCAATTTAGCTATACACGATCTATTCTATCTATCTATCTATCTATCTATCTGTCCATAGAGTTTGCACTGAAAACTGTATATAAATAAAAATCTGTGTAAGATTTTCTAAGATCTATAATTTTGGTATTTTGAAAGTTTCGACACCAATTTTCAACCAGATCAGCTTCAATTTGACACTCAAAATTATCCTTTTTAAGTTAATTTACTACATAGATCCTCTAGAATGACATCTCCGGATTTTAGTATTTCGAAGTTATCGGCAAAAAAATGAAAATTCGCCTCAAATCAGTAGAATACTGAGTATTGGGGGAACGCTCTCATATAGGGGCTCCATGATATCGTGGACCGATATACAGGGTGAGATAAAAAACTGCAATAAAGTCAATTGCATAACTTTTACATTTTTTTTTAATTTACTGAATGAAAGAAAAAATGTCGGGAATAGCATAACATTTTAGAATAATTTTAGATTTGTTCGAATTGGTCACCTTTGGCCCGAATTATGACCTTCAAACGGCCAATAAAACCATCACACGCTGCCCGAATGTTTCTCTGCGGTATTTTGGCCCATTCCCGGCGAAGCGCTTGCTTGAGGTGATCGACACTTTGGTATTTTTTAGTGCCAACCTTGCTTTCCAAAATACTCTAGTCACAATAGTCCAACGATGAAGCGAGGAACCTCATTTTGTAACCATTATTGGGTGGTGCGTGCTGAGTGCAATGGTGCTGAGTCCTGCAGTCAGTGGCCAAGATTTAATACACCCTCCAGAATATTTTCGCGATAATATTCTGCATATATTCTGATGCCATGGTCGATTAATACGAGCGAAGAGCGACCATCGGCTGTTATGGCGGCCCACACCATCACCATGGCCGACGCTTAAGTTCTGGTGGCCAACCGAAGGTGCACATTTTCAGCTGACCTCTTTCGCAAGTAAACACGATCATTTTGATTCTTTACAAACCGCAGGACAACGAATATTTTCTCATCGGAGAAAACCAAATTCGTCAGTTCACCACTTTCGGTCAAGCAAAGCAACTCTTTAGCTCTTTTGAGTCTATTTTCCTTCTGTTGCGGTGTAAGTTCTTGCCGAATGGAATATTGCGATATGTTCAGCTCACGAGCTATTTTCTGCCACTGCGACGCGGGTTTCGATCAAGTCGCTTCGTTACCTTTCGAACCATTTCTGCTGATGTTGCTGTTTTCTTCCGTCCACTTCTTTGACGTCGGGTTACGTTACCAGTATCACGGTAACGAGCGATGGTACGGGAAACAAAAGGTTTATTCACATTTAAATGCTGGAGTCCTCTAAGGATAGCCACTTGTTGTTTTCCAGCCAATTGTAAAGAAATCACCCTATCACGCTTGAATTCCGTCACGAATAACTCTTTTTCTGGAAAATTTTCACCAAAATACTTTTGTACGCTTGTGTACAATATAATGAGCTGTCACTGGAATTATTTGACAGCTCTCGGACGAGTGGCTTAGAAATGACAGCAGTCTGAAGTTGGTTGCAGTTTTTTCATCTCACCCATAGTTTCCTATGTCGGGGACCAATATTTCGAGGTGTTACATAATTTTTGGCCCAATCAAACCAATAATACCTCCAACACATAGTGTTTAGGGCATAATAAATACTCACAGTTATTTTAATGCAAAATTCACAGTTTCAGGTCTTTGTCTGCACTACATACAAAATTTCATACTAAATTGTAATTTTCGTACACTGTATAGCTCTATGGTACTATATTTAATGTGTAAGTCGAATTTCCAAAAGATAATCCCAGATTGAGCCTCACTTAAAATTTCAAGACTCTAGCTTTAGTTTTTTTCGTCTAGGCGTTTATGAATCAGTCTGTCATTTTGTTAATATAGTTTGTTGAACATAAGTAAGCTAAGAAATATCAATCAGTTCCACCATAACCCATCATTCTCATACTCTTATTTATCTCTCCCTCTGCCTCAAACAGGTTTCTTACGCCCCGAAAAACATGAACGCCATGCCCAAGCCGATCGTCGCTCGGATTTAATTAAATCCTTCCTGTGGCCAGCCCTGATGCAAAACACCCATTGTGTGTTTAAGGCAATTGTGGTGACTTAAAACCTGCAGCCTTTTCAACGATAGTATATAAGACCATAGAAAATACGTTTTTAAATAAGTTCTAAATTTTGTACATATTCATCTTAATGATTTTAAAATAAAAAAACAACAAATAATTAAAATAAATAAAAAATACATAACATATTAAAATAAGCAATAACTAAAATAAATAAATATCGAATAAAATTTTAAAACATTTTATACAACAATGGGCCTTAAGACTAAACTCAAGGTGCACTCTTTATTTGTACATTGCAATGTGTTGTGCCTGTAGAATTCTATAATATCGTTTGGTGTCTGGTACAAACGTTCCTCACGTTTCTCCTGACCTATGGCAAATAGTTCCGTACCCGGTATTTGTCGAATAAATAAATGGAAGAATTGTTTTCGGGCATAAATGCTGACAATGTATTTAATACTGATGTCCTGAAAGAAGAAAAGTCAAATGGTTTTATTTGTTGGATGTTGAGGTGCTATAAAAATTATTCATCTTTACCTCTTCTTTGTAAGGCCTCACCAGGCAAGTACCATCCTCCCTTCCGGTGAGTATTTCTTCTGCTGTTGCCCGATCAACGGTACGATAAAATGGCTCAGTTTCGATTTTTCTTTTTTCGATTTGTAAATAATTGGCATCAATGTCATCTAAAGTGGAGGAGGAGTAGATGAGGAAATGCAGTAAGATTTATATACATAATGTGTAATAAAAATTAGTTTTAGAAATAAACAGTGTGAACAATTTTTAAATCTAACTTTCAATTTTATATGACCATCTTTGTAAGATTCGAGTTTCTGAATATTGATTTTTCAAACATATTCAATGTTTTTTTTTTTTTTTTTTTGATTTTTCCCACCGAGGATTTTCAAAAGATATTAAAAAAAACTCCAATCGTGTATTCTTGATCCCGGAAGTTTTGATAGTGGATTTTCAAGGACATTTTTAAAAGTTTGAATTTTTCGAAAATATTCGCGATTTTTTCAAAGATGTTTTTGGAAAAATTATCAATCGGGGGTTTTTCATTTATACTACAAATTTTTTTAAGGATATTTAATGAAGGTTTATTTTTACACCACATAGTGGTAAGGGTATTATGTCTTTGTGCATTTGTTTGTAACATGGAGAAGGAAACGAGATAGACCCATAGTTACTTTTGAGAACCTTCATAGAATCACTTTCTGAGTCGATTTATGCATGTCAGTCCGTCAGTCCGTCTGTCCGTCCGTCCGTCCGTCTGTCCATGTATTTTTGTGAACAAAATGCAGGTCGCATTTATTATCCGATTTAGATAAAATTTTCCAAACAATATTTTTTTGGACCAAGGACGAACCCTATTGAAATTGGTGAGAATCGGATCAAATTTAGATATAGCTCCCATATATATCTTCATCCGATTTCGGGTTAAATGTGCACCAAATGTCCACTATCAGTCCAAATTACCTGCATTTTGGCACACCCAACCGAGTTCGGCCTAGAAGCAAGTATATCAAATTTGGAGAAAATCGGTTCAGATATAGCTATAGCTCCCATATATATCTTTCATCCGATTTGATCTTTAAGTCCCTCACATTCCTACTATGCACTCCACAACCGTGATATTTGGTACCAGGTATTAGATGGAGCACAGAAATAGCTGTTTTAAATTTTATCGAAATCGGTTCAGATTTGGATATAGCTCCCATATATATCTTCATCCGATTTCGGGTTAATTGACCACCAAATGGCCAATATCAGCCCAACTGGCCCGAATTTTGACACATGTGACCGAGATTAGCCTTAAAGCAAATACAACAAATTTGGAGAAAATCGGTTCAGAAACAGGTATAGCTCCCATATATATGTTTTATCCGATTTGGTGTTTAAGCCTCTCACATTCGTAATATGCACTCCACAAGAATGATATTTGGTAGCAGATATAAGATACAGCCCAGAAATAACTGTTTGTAATTTTATCGAAATCGGTTCAGATTTGGATATAGCTCCCATATATATCTTCATCCGATTTCGGGTTAATTGTGCACCAAATGGCCGATATAAGTCCAAATGGACTGAATTTTAGTACATCGGACCAAATTCAGCCTAGAAGCAAGTATATCAAATTTAGTGAAAATCGGTTCAGATATAGATATAGCAACCATATATATGTTTCATCCGATTTAGTGTTTTAGTCCCTTACATTCGTAATATTCACTCCACAACTCATTAGCTCTTCGAGTCTATTGTCTTTCTGTGGCGGTGTAAGTTCTTGAACTTTTTGGAATTTCAATAGCTTTACCCCGAGCTCATTTTTCAATATTTGCCGAATGGAATATTGCGATATGTTCAGCTCAGGAGCCATTTTCCGTCACTGCGACGCGGGTTTCGATCAAGTCGCTTCTTTACTTTTCGAACCATTTCTGCTGATGTTGCTGTTTTCTTCCGTTCACTCCATTGACTTCGGGCTAAGCTACCAGTATCACGATAACAAGCAATGGTAAGAGACACAAAAGATTTATTCACACTTAAATGCTGAAGTGCTCTAACTTGTGGTTTTCCAGTCAAATATGAAGAAATCATCACGAATAACTCTTTTTCTGGAAAATTTTTAACAAAATGTTTTTGTACGCTTGTAAACAATGTAATGAGCTGTCACTAAAACCATTTTAACAGCTTTTGGACGAGTGGCCTTGAAATGACAGCAGTCTGAATTTGGTTGCAGTTTTTTCATCCCACCCTGTATTTTAAATTTTTAGAAACATTTTGTGGATGACCTTATTGGATCCTATGGGATCTTCTATTGTCGATTTTTTAAGTATTTTTTTTTTTTAGATTAACGTAGATTTTTTAAAAAAAGTTTTATTAATGATCTTTGTTTTTGACTATTGTTGGGAATAGCTCCACCTTTTTAGACAGCCCAACGAGGATTTTTTTTAAATTGTTCAGCTGTTAATTTTTTCAGGCGTTTTTTATTGTTTTGAAATGCTTTTGACTAAACTTTCAAACTAATATTAACCAAGAAAAACTCAAATAATCAAAAATAACCTATACAATATAAGTTTTTATATATCCAAAGTAGTATTGCCTCTCGTAGGAAACAATTAACTAACTTTCCTGTCCCGTGAAAATTATATACGTTCATAAATGTGTATTATTATCAGCTGCCATTGTACAAAATAATTAGCACATTTTATTATTGTTATTCTTAAGCGCACTTCAATAAATGCAAATATTATTTAATAAAATTTATCTATAAGCTCATCCCCATCAAAACTTTGCCCACAAATTGCGAATGAATGAATGAGCTACGTATCGCTCATTCCCGAATGTCTCTTTTAGTGACTTACCCACAATGACATAATCGTGTTGTGTTCTCCCCATTTGTTGTTGCCTCAAGTCCATTCGATTTTCGGGGGGATAGTATGCGCCGTCATCCGATAAATCGGGCAATTGATGTTTTAAACAACAACAACTAGTTCTGCTACCATCGCCAGCGTAACCACTGCCGTCATCGCCGTCGTCATCGATGGGGCAGCAATAACAGCAACAGCACAAACGTTGCGAAGCACATGCCGAACATTTGCTGGCAAGATTAGAAAAGAACCGGGCAAGTAAGTTGTGTAAAACCGTCCAATAGACACGTATAGACCAACACATAGTTGGAGCCCAAGAGACGACTTCGACGCTAACGTGTTTGAATGGTGTTTTTATTTTTGTTTTGGTTTTCGACTTAACCAGATTTTAATTTTGAAAACAAATATTTGTTTTGGTTAATTTGTGTATGTTGTTTTTTTTTCTTTTTGTTTATTTTTTGGTTTTTCATAAATTTTGCACGTGTAAACCACGAAACATAATTTCACACAATTCTTTAAATTTTTAATTTCGTTTATTTTAAGTAATTATTATTTTTTTAGTTTATTTTGTCTGTTTTTGAAAACCATATAGATTTGATGCGAACAACTGAGAGATATGAGATCGCACAGCGACATGTTTACGATATGAGATCTTAATGAATACTAAACAAATTCCAGCTCAAAAAAATTATACATATTAATGAACGGCGGATTGTGTTTCATTGACGAGGTGGGTATGATGTGTGAGTGAATTTTAAAATATGACCAATTGAAGGGATTATTTGAGAAAATATGTCTTGTTTTTCATGTTTTTTCCTTTTTCGAAAAGAATAACAGGAGAATGTCTGCCTTTTATACCAAGAAGGCTTCAAAATCATTCTTTTTGAAAATTACCGAGTGTAATAGTAAAACCATAGCATTGCAATGGATCCACATCGAAATTTTCTATCCAAAACTATTTTAACGTCTCCATATGTAAATCCTAGAAATCAACAGTTACCTCAACATCAAATTTCAGCTATAACCTTTCACTCAAAACCAAATTTAGTAACATTTAGTACTCATATTCAAAACAATCTACATCTCTACATTCTAGAAACCAAATGTGATCCAAAATTAGTGCTATTTAGTACTTTCCGAGCAATTATAGTACATATTTCCAAAACCACTTCTGTATCTTAACCACATACACCAACTGACCTTAACATCAAACTTCGAGATTCTAGCTCCACCGATTCACACAGATCCAAATTTAGTACACATAAGTATAAAGTTCCTAAACTTCCTACATACCCCAGTCTTACACTCCAAATTTCCAAAACTACAGTCATACCTCAATTATAAAATCCCACAGATATCTTATTTTCAAATTTCAGAATTCCAGCTCTATTGGTTCACCCCAATTCCTATTTGTAAAAAATTTAGTATCATTTGGTACACATATGTACCAATGTCCATAACAACCTGCAATACACAAATCAATGGAAATCGGTTCACCCAAAAAAAAATTTACCAAATTTAGTACCATTATATGAACTTCCTACTTACCCCAATACCACACACCAACAGTAAATTTAAATTTAGTACATTTCCGACAGTAATCTTATTTCCAAATTTCAAGTTCGCCCAAATCAAAATTGTACAAAATTTAGTACCATGTAGAACATATAAGTACGAACTTCAAAACTGCCTCCATACCTCAATTCTACAATACAGTAGCAAACTTTTTTCCAAATTGCAGCATTCCCTCTCTCTATCGGTTCACCCAAATCGAAATGCTACCAAATTTAGTACCATTTAGTACTTTTTTACATAAGTACAATTTTGGAACACTACAATCATATCCAAATCCCAAACTTCGCCAGTAATGTTAATTATAAATTTAAGGAATCCAGCTAATCCGTATCTACAAATTCATGGACCATGCGTCACAAACTTGATCCCATTCCAAATTTCAAGCTCTAACCACTTGATACGAAATGGTACCAAATGTGGTATCTCTTAGTACTTTTCGTACACTTATAGTATGACTTGAATGAATGATTATACCCTACACCACAAGGTGGTCAGGGTATTATGTCTTTGTGCATTTGTTTGTAACAGGCAAAAGGAAACTAGATAGACCCATAGTACCTTTTGATGATCTGCATAGAATCACTTTCTGAGTTGATTTATGTATGTCAGTCCGTCTGTCCGTCCGTCCATCCGTCCGTCCATCCGTCCGTCCGTCCGTCCGTCTGTCCATGTAATCTTGTGAACAAAATGCAGGTCGCATTTATTATCCGATTGAGATGAAATTTTTCAAACAACATTTGTTTGGCCCAAGGACGAACCCTATTGAAATTGGAGATAATTGGTAAAAATTTAGATATAGCTCCAATATATATCTTCGTCCGATTTGCACCAAACGTGTAATATCAGCCCGAATAGTATGGAATTTTGCACATACAACCAAATTAGGCATGAAAATAAGTGTGCCAAATTCGATCGAAATCGGTTCAGATATAGCTATAGCTCCCATATATATTGTTCATCCGATTTGTTATTTTTGTCCTCCGCAGCCGTAATATGCACTCTGTAACAACAATATTTGGGGAAATATATCAAATGCAGCTCAGAAATACCTTTGCTAAATTTTATCGAGATCGGTTCAGATTTGGATATAGCTCCCATATATAACTTCGTCCGATTTTATTGTGCACCAAACGTCTAATATTTGCCCAAATGCGATGGATTTTGGCACATACGACCGAATTGAGTCTAGAAGGTAGTATGACAAATTTGGTGAAGATCGGTTCAGATATAGCTATAGCTCCCATATATATTGTTCATCCGATTTGTTGTATTTGTTACCCACAGCCGTAATATGCACTCCGTAACAACGATATTCAGGGAAATAAATCAAATACAGCTCAGAAATATCTTTACTAAATTTTATCATATAGGTTCAGATTTGGATATATCTCTCATATATATCTTTATCTGATTTCAAATTATTTTGCACCAAATGGGAAATACAAGTCCGAATTTAAAAGATACAAATGCTTCGGCATATTTAGCCCTTTGAACTTTAAATTATAATTATAATCATAGCGTGTATGATTGAATTCTCCCATAAAAAGCTTTTAATTGTTATCCGCAGCTCTACTAAATTAGTAATGTGGTGTAGGGTATCATATAATCGGCCCCGCCCGACTTTAGGACTTTCTTTACTGGTTTTCTATATTGATGTAGATAGATATATACTTGTTTCGATTTCGATGAGATATTTGATTCACTTTAATTATTCCTTGTATGTAGAGGCATCAGAAGTAGGAGACCGATATCTCGGATATTCTCCCATTACTAGGTAAACTATTTGATACTACTATGTGTATTTAATAGAGCTCTCGCAACAAACAAGTTTATATTGGGAATTTATATGAAGTAAATCATATCAACTATGAACATAACATTGCTGTATAGGGCATGATATGATTTCGAAGAGGATTTTAATAAAAAAAATTTTCATTGGAGCAATAAATATAGCAATTTGGGCCGATATTATACATATGATGAGCAATAATCGTAAAATCGGACCCTTACCACTATGTGGTGTAGGGTATAAATATTAGTATGTGCAAAGTCTAAATTAACTTGAAAGATTACTTCACATTATATCAATATTATGATTATATTCACACTCTGGTACCCGAGGAACCCACATCATACATTTTCCACCCATACCACCCTCTTAACGTTTACAATCATTATTATCGTCCTGAAAATGATCATTGTTTTTGGTGCTAATAATGATGATATTTAATATGACAAATTACAATAAGCAATTATAAAACGCCTTTTTAAATAGACAACTTAGTGAAGCAAAAACAACAATAGCAACAACAACAAATGTGAAAAATCATACTGTCACAGTTTCATTACATTAACACATTAAGTTTGTTCTTAAAACGCATACTGATGCAATGCCAAATGATTTATACGTGCATATTAGATCGTAGCATCATTTGTGAGGAATGAATTGTACCGGTTAAAGTGTACCAATAGTTCATTGGCAGTATCTGTTTCCATTATATAAGAAACATTCTTGTATATAACTGAATTTTGGTATAGTCCCCATATAACGGCAACTTCCAATATTCGGTATTTTGATCATTTTAGCGACAATATTCATTGGAATTATTTCAAGTTCACTATGGGTACTACAGCCTGGGACAGAAAATTGGCTATGCTGTCAAATGATTTTAGCGACTTATTTACCAGAATTGTGCCGGAAAAATTCCTACGTCTACAACAATAATTGCCCATGCAGATTCACGTCTTCGCATAGATGGACAGTATATTAGGACAATTTAGCTCTGTCCGTCTTCCGTCTGTTGTAATCACGCTAAAGTCAAAACGAAAATTTTGCACAACTCAGTCTTTTGTCTGCTGACAGGTCATGTTCGAAGATGGACTATATCGGTGCACGATGTCGTATATCCCCTATATAACGGTACCCCGATAATCGGAATTTTGGTGATTTTAGCCACATTCTTCAATGGAATTGTGGGAATTTTAACACAAGGAGTTCCGTCGGAGTACTTTACCCCCTAGAAGAGTATTATCTATAAAGGTTCACGATATCACATATCCCCCATATAACTGTACCTCTCGATATTCGGGATCTACGTCTTCGTATAGCCCCCATATAACGGTGCCTACCGATATTCGGTATTTTCACCGTACAACACTATGTGATGGGGGTATTATAAGTTTGATTGGGCCAAAAATTATGTAACAACTCGAAATATTGGTTTCCCCCATAGGAAAGTATATATGGGTCTTCCTAGCTCGCCGAGATGAGTCGATCTAGCTATGTATGTCCGTCCGTCCGTCTGTCCATGTTAATTTGTAATCAAGCTACAGGTCGCAATTATGAACCGATCCTCACGAAATTGAAAATGGAGGTGGGGTTAGGGTCAGAATAGAACCCTATTGTTTTTGATGATGATCGCATAATATTTAAAAACGGACAATTTTTCTGATTCTGCAGTTGCTCTATAGGCTACAATTATGAACCAATCGATGCGAAAATTTACATGGAGTTCGAGTTTGGGACTGGACAGAAAACTACCAATTTGAGCGGCCATCGAACAATAATTAGCGGATAAAATAGACCCTAACTTATATGTTAGAAAATAGGAAAATTTCCACTAAACCGCGAATATTTTTAATCCAAGCCATATCACAAATACATTAAAAGATCACTTCCGATCATTACAGTGATACTAGTAGCCAAGAAATCGGATATATAGCAAAATAGGTACAATACATATGTAAAAGAATTGATCTTTTTTATTCTGCTTATATATCAAGAACCGCTGGGTCGATTTTCACAATTCCCATCAATTCGGAATGGTCTCTTGCCAGAAAAGGATCAAATCTAAGAAATTCGTGGGATAATATACCAATAAAAAAGTTATATATTTTGTTTAAATTTTTTTCCATTTTTTGTCATATTTTTTATCACATGCAATTTTTTCAATTTGACTTACAATTTTGAATTTTAAATTTTCTAAATTTTTACACCCTCCAACACTACGTTTTGAGGGTATTATATGTATGTCGCAATTATCGTCCGATCCTCACGAAATTTTGCATGGGGG